GTGGGGGCCCTCCTGGGGGGGCCCCTGGGGGGGCCCCACGGGGGGCCCCTGGGGGGCCCCCTGGGGGGCCCCCTGGGGGGCCCCGTGGGCTGCTGGGTCACCTTTGAAAGTTGCTGCTGCTGCAGGCCCTGTTGCTGCTGCTGCTGGGGAGGGTTCGTCAGCAGCAAAGAGGCGCGCGAAGAAGCACCAGTAGAAGTAAAGTGCTGCTGCTGCTGCTGCTGAGAGCAGCAGCAACTTGAGTTTGCTGCTGCCGAAGTAGCGCTTGACCAGGCGGGAAGCGGGGGGCGCAGGGCGGTAGAACCTGCTGCTGCTGCTGCTGCCCCTGCTGCGCACCCTGCTGCTGCTGCTGCTGCTGCGGCTGCTGCGGCTGCTGCTGCTGCCCATGCCCCCCCCCTCCCCACTCAAGAAAGCCACATAGTGTGTGTCTGCTGAGGGTTCCATTGCAGCAAGCTGCTCACAACAACCCCACTTTGCTGCTGCTGCGCCGGTCCGCTGCAGTTGCTGCTGCTGCAGTTGCTGCTGCTGCAGTTGCTGCTGCTGCTGCTGAGCCTCCAGCAAATGCAACTCTTCTCAAGAAACTCTTCTGACAGGCTCAAAAGGGGAATAGAAGAAAAGCAATAACTCACGGACAGCGGAAGCAGCGCAGCGAGTGCTTCAGTGAGAGCGTCGCGCAGCAGCAGCAGCAGCAGCAGCAGCAGCTGCTGGTGCTGCTGCTGCTGCTGCTGCGGCGGTGGCGCTAGCCGGGAAACAACAGATTTTAATGATGTTTCTGTTTTTATTTACTTATTTGAATTAATTAAAAATGTTAAAACCCTATTTAATAAGTCAGTTGCTTCAGCTCTCCCAGAAGGCGTCTGCTGCAGCCGCCACAGCTGCTGCTGCTGCTGCCAGTACTGCTGCTGCTGCTGCTGCTGCTGCTGTCGCAGCTGCTGCTGCCTATTCTTCTTTAAATGCATTTTAATTGAATTTAAATTCCAAAAATGTAAACGCCAGAAAACCGAGTCGCCGCGGGAGGCGCAGCAGCTGCTGCTGTCGGTGCTGCTGCTGCTGCGTCGAGACACTGCAGCAGCAGCAGCAGCAGCAGCAAAAATCAGTTCAAAAACAAAATAAAATTCAAAACAAACTTTTAAATTCAAATTAAATAAAACTAATTCAAATTCACCAGCCGCGCTGCTGCGGTGCCTCGCCCGTCGCAGACGCCAGGTGTACGTACACCCGAGACTGCCACTCCCGGGACTCGCCTCTTTTGACTCACCAGAATTATAAAAGTGGAAATTAATTTTAAAATAATAATTTAAATTAATTAAATGAAATAAAACGATAAAGGTTGCAGCCAAACAAACCCATTTAAGCCAAAGACAGGGGCCCCCCAAAAGCCATCGAAGTACCGCGAAGTTGGGGGCCTCCACAACTATAAAAATAAATGGGGAAAGAAGCTTCAAATTAAATAAAATAAATAAAATAAATAAAATAAATAAATATAAATATAGTTAAATATAAATAAATAAAATTAAATTTGAATAAATCCAAATAAATTCAACTTGGGAGATATCTGATCAGCACACCCCTCAAACTAATCGCGCTGCTGTTGCTGCACTGCTGCTGCTGCACTGCTGCTGCTGCACTACCGCTGCTGCACTGCTGCTGCTGCACTACCGCTGCTGCACTGCTGCTGAGCTGCTGCTGCTGCAGTGCTGCTGCTGCTGCTGCTGCAGCTCCTACTCCCTTCGTTGCTGCAGCCCTTTTGCTGCTCTCCTTGTCTTCTTCTTCGGCGGCTATTTTTCTCTCTTCTGTCTTTTGAGTGTCACCTTTCTTCTCTAAAGAGTGTGCATTGCCAGCAGCAGCAGCAGCAGCAGCAGCAGAAGCAGCAGCAGCAGCAAGTTCAGAAGCTCCCTTTACATCTCAGTTACCCAAGCAGACAGGGGCTCCGCCGTACGTACAGCCCACTGCCGGCCGCTCCCTTTTGGTGCTCTGCCTTTTGGCTAGCTGCAGCTAGCTGCTGCAGCTAGCTGCAGCTAGTTGCAGTGAAGTGTAGCTTGCCACAGCTAGCTGTGGCTAGCTGTGGCTAGCTATAGCTAGCTTTTGCTAGCTATAGCTAGCTGTAGCTAGCCGTGGCTGCCTATAGCTGGCTGCAGCTAGCAACAGCTAGCTGCAGCTAGCTGTAGCTAGCCGTTTTGTCTCGGGCTAGCTGCAGCAGCTAGGGGCAGCTAGATGGAACAAGCAGCAGCTAGCTGCAGCAACTGGCAGCAACTAGCAGCAGCTAGCTGCAGCTAGCTGCTGCTAGCTGCTGCAGCTAGCTGCTGCAGCTAGCTGCTTTGATCAGGGGTGCAGCAAGACTCCATTGGCTGCAATCGCAAACCCTAGTTCATCCCTCGCTGCAGCAGTTTAATTTAGCACATAGTCCGAGATATTTGCTGCAGCAGTGAAACCCTAAACCCTAAACCCTAAACCCTAAACCCTAGGAGGCTGCTGTGAAGTTGCCGGAGAACGAAGAGGGTCCTTCCGCTTCCTCATCGCTGAAATTGTCAAAGTACCTGCAGCACAACCTCCAAACCCTAAACCCTAGACCCTAAACCCTAAACCCTAAACCCTAAACCCTAATGCCTAAACCCCTGGTTCGAACCCGGCAAAGACAAGCTGCTGGGAGCTGCTGCTGCGGAGGTGCTGCGCGCCGTGGCTGCTTGGGTTTACAAATAAGGGTTTAGGGTTTAGGGTTTAGGGTTTAGGGTTTAGGGTTTGGAGCTGACTTGGAGATGAGAAAAGAAACCCTTTTGTCGATCGCCTCGCTGTGAAGAAACTGCACTCCTTCCAGCTTCTGCAGAACCCCCCAGCGCAAAACCCTAAACCCTAAACCCTAAACCGTAAACCCTATATCCTAAACCCCAAACCCTAAACCCTAAACCCTAAACCCTAAACGCACCTCAATGCCGCCCATGGCATAGATCTGAGCGCGGGTTTTTGGCTCCTTTTCCAGAACAGCAGAAATGAAGTCCAGGGCGATCCTGCAGCAGCAGCAGTTGGCGCAAACGAGGGTTTAGGGTTTAGGGTTTAGGGTTTGGCCAGGGGCCTGCTCTGGAGGCTAAAAAACTAGGGTTTAGGGTCTAGGGTTTCACGCCGCGGGCCCCGGGAGCGCCCGCCGAGCTCCCGGACTCGTGCGGGGCCTGGGGCGAGGGTTTAGGGTTTGGGACGAGGGTTTAGGGTTTAGGGTTTAGGGTTTGCACATGACGGAAGCCAAGTCGTATTTGCAGTGCTGCAGAGTGTCCAAAAAGGCCTCCAAAACTGGTGGGGTTGTTGTTAGAACTTGCTGCAGGTGGCGGCAGTTGTTGTTGAAGGCCAAGTGCAGCAAAGTTTCTCCAGAATCCTGGAAAAAAGCGGAAAAAAAAGAAAAAATAAACAATTAAATGAAAATTAATTCAATATTTTCCTTTAATTCCAAAAAATAATTCAATTTCTCCACAAAATGAACTCAAAAATCAAAATTCAAAAACGCCGACGCTCAGGTGTATCTGCACCTGCACCGCCTCAGGTGTACGTACACCCCAAACAGCCCCCGCCAATTCCCGCAACGCACCCAAACCCTAAACCCTAAACCCTAAACCCTAAAGCCTAAACCCTAAACCCTTATTTTTGAGGAAAAGCTGAGGTGTATGTACACCTCAAGGCCTACCCGGCGAATGTCAAAGCTGCTGCTGCTGCTGAAGACCGAAGCAGCAAGAGGCAGCAGCAGCGCAGCGGCGTCTTCCTGAGCAAAACCCTAAACCCTAAACCCTAAACCCTAAACCCTAAACCCTAAACCCTAAGCCCTAGGGATGAGAGGAAGGAGTCGAAAGAGACGGAAAGAAACTGAAGACAGTTTGTCGTTCAGAGGGACAAAAAGCAAAAAGAGAAATTGAAAAAGAAACAAAGAGGAATTTAAAAAGAAACAAAAAGGAAGATGAAAGGATATTGAAAAGGATAAAAAAAGAAGAATAAAAAAGATATTAAAAGGAAATAAAAAGAAGACAAGAGGGAGAATAAAAACAGATTAAAAGAAAGCAAAAAGGAGATCAAAAGGAGAGAAAAAAGCGACAAAAATGGGACAAAAATGAGAAAAAAAGAAGTAAAAAAGAGAAACAAAGGAGATTAAACAGACATCGAAAAGAATATTAAAAAGAGATTAAAAAGAGATTAAAAGGAGATTAAAAAGAAGATTAAAAGGAGATTAAAAAGATATGAAAGGGATATTAAAAAGATGTAAAAAAGATATAAAAAAGAGATAGAAAAGAAATTAAAAAGATACAAAAAGGAGATTAAAAAGATACAAAGAGGAGATTAAAAAAATATAAAAAGGAGATTAAAAAGATATAAAAAGGAGATCAACAAAGAGACAAAAAGGAGATTAAAAAGAGATAAAAAAGAGATAAAAGGAGCTTAAAAAGATATAAAAAAGAGATAAAAAGGAGCTGAAAAAGATAAGAAAAAGGGATAAAAAGGAGCTTAAAAAGATAAAAAAAGAGATAAAAGGAGCTTAAAAAGATATAAAAAAGAGATAAAAAGGAGCTTAAAAAGAGATAAAAAGATTAAAAACAAAAAACGAAATTAAAAAAAAATAAAAAGAGAAAAAGCACCTGCTGCGGAGGCCCTGCTGCTAGGGCGCAAAGAACGGAAAGTGCTGCTTGTTGGGTGCCTCTGAAGAAAGTGGAAAACAAAAAAGAACAAAAATGAATAAAAAGGAATTAAAATGAATTAAAATGAATTAAAATTAATTAAAATTAATTAAAATAAAACATTAATTGATTTATTATTTCATTAATTCCGAAAAAAAGAAAAAAAACGAAAAAAAAACATATCTTTGCCTTTGAGCCGCACAACCAGCTGTACAGACACCCCGCAAACCCTGATTTAGGGTTTAGGGTTTAGGGTCTACTTGTTCGCCTCCTGTCTTCTCAAGCTACTATCTGTTGCAGCAAACCAACTAGGGTTTAGGGTTTGGCCTCTAGGGTTTAGGGTTTATTCTACCTATGGTCAGCCTGCGCTAGTACCTGCTGCAGCAAACCAACAAGGTAGGGTTTAGGGTTTAGGGTTTCGTCTGCTGCAGCTAGGTAGGGTTTAGGGTTTAGGGCTCAAGGCTTAGGGTTTAGGGTTTAGGGTTTTGGGATTTTTTACCTATAGCCATCGTGAGCTAAAAGCTGCTGCCGCAAATCAGCTCCAAACTACGTGCGGCCTAGGATCTAGGGTTTAGGGTTTAGGGTTTAGGGTTTAGGGTTTACTTACCTGTGGTCATCTTGAGATAAAACCTGCTGCAGCAAACCAGCCAGGGGGCCCCCCTGGGGCCCCTCAGTGAGCTGCGAGGCCCAGAGGGTACTGACGCGTCTGCTGTCGCACAAGATGCCTGCAGCAGACACTCAGCAAGCTGCTGCTGCTGCTGCTGCTGCTGCTGCGGCTGCTGCTGCTGCTGCTGC